ATTATGGGCCAACCCCACTATTAAGGGTTATTATTTGAAAAAGTTAAATCTTAACTATGTTATAAACTTTTTAGATAAGTTTTATATCTTCTGGCCCAGTGGTTCTTGAAAATAAGATTTTTAAAAGAAAATCAATTTTTTTTTTACTAAATTATTAATTATCTCCCCACGAATAAGGGTGTGGTCCAATTCACTCAAGGATGCTTTGTAGCAGTTATAGTTGAAATAAACCCAGTGGTTCTGGAGAAAAAGTCAAAAATGTTCAAAGTTTACACACAGAAGGGGGTGGATGCCAGACAATATGTGATCATATAAAAATCACTTGAGCTTTCTCCTCTGGAGAGCTATTGATGAATTACAGATTATTTTGAACAAAATTAAAAGATAATTTCCTAACCTCTTTTAATCCTAAGCATATTAAGAGGGAGTCTCCATCTAGCCAAAATAAAACAGCAATGACTTGGATTTATATCTAAATTTTATTATAAGAATATTTCTTTCATAACATTTGAACCCTTAATTTTTTTGGAGTGGTTAGTTCTTCCCTACTACATTGTATATAGTGGACTCTGTACTTCATAATGATGACACCATATGAATCCCCATCATCCCAAGATACTTTATGGCTATTTTTATTTAAATTGGCCGAGCAGTTAAAGAAAAGTACTTGGAAATGTGAAAACTTCATGTATGGTGACTGACAGCAAAAGACAACAATTGGTCACCTAAATAACAGTTTTCCTAATATCACACTGAAATAATTGTGTGTGAATGGTAATGTAGATATTTTGGTACATTTTCAATGGAAATCTTCAGAAGAAAAGTCTGTAGAAATTTACTCTGCAGATATTACTGAAATTATGTTTCAAGACAAAATTTTCGTTAAACCTGCTTAATTTTTTGTTGTACTCTTCCATTTGGTGAGGGCTGGGGTGGGCTATGCAGATATATGCACAAGTACTGCTACTTGCTCTGCATTCAAACAATATTTTATATCATGGTACTCTTTTTACCATCAGAACACATATATACCTGCAGAGCTTGACTTTATTTCAGTGAAGTTGGTCCTGTTGAAGGCCACAGGTTCTCCTTGCTCCGTTTCTGTTTTTTGTCGTTTGTGTGACGCCTCAGGTGGCTGTGTTTTTCTCTGCCGTTTGTAAGGATCCTTCACCAATGCCCTACTTTTTTCATCTACATGATTAACAAGATAAGTTAATGTATTTAATATATAAACGTAGGTAAGGCCATAATAAAAATATTCCTAGATTCTCATCCCCGCCAGCCTCGATTTTATGCCCCCGCCTCGATTTTTTTTAATTTCTGTTTTTCTTTGTCTCAATTCTGATCGGGATCGGTATTTATCTACCATTCTACTTTCATTTTAAATCCCGCGAAAGTCGACATGATTTTGACAGCTGAAAAGAGGGTAATCAATTCTGATCGGGATCGGTATTTATCTACCATTCTACTTTCATTTTAAATCCCGTGAAAGTCGACATGATTTTGACAGCTGAGTAGATGGTTATTGCTGTAATACATGCGTATATAATTTAAACAAGGGTCATTGGTTGAAAAAGATTGGTGATGATGTGAAGTACGAAGAGATAATTGAACCTTTCCTATGACTTTTATTCAGGTATTTTAGATAAAATTACACCGATTGACCAGGTCAATAAAAAATCCGCAAAATTTGAAAAAATAAAAAATATAAAATAAAAGCCGCCTGCCCGCCTCGATTTTTAAAAAATTCGGATGAGAATCTAACAATTTATATATCATGGCCTAATCAGAGATTACAGAGCTCACCTCAGTGAATGTTAAAGCAATATGAGCTGCATAGTAGACATCGGAAAACTTTGTTGCAAATTTGTAGCTAGCTATTTCAAAGACAGAAAAATAGAACATTAATGTACTTCTGTTGTTCATTTTTGCGATGGAGGAACTTTTTATGAGGTTGGATTGAAGCATTTAGATTATTGTCGTCCTGTACAATCTTATATAATACTGTATACTCGATCGTACTGAAATTTTCCTTCTGAAACATTTTTAAACTTTATTTTGGTCTTATTGATCATAAGGGTTTAAATAACGTACAAATTAATCATTATAACACATTTTACCAGCAAAATAAAATTCTCAAAAATGCAGCTCATATAGCTTTAAGTAATGCAAAATCCCACAATTAACTAACATTCTAGAAGTTTTCATACCAAAATGCAAAATTTATGCAATTTTGATCTAATAGAGCCAGGCTTGCAGTTACTTGGAATAGACCTATCCAAAAACTTCAAACTAGTTGCCCATCAAGAAAATGTAATTCAAATCCAACATCTGAAGCAAGTTTGAGAGTGTTCATCCCTTGATGCATCATTTATGCAAATTTAGTTAATGTTTCTTGGTGTTAAACTTGCACCCATAACTTTTACCTGGTCCATTATCTTTCATCCATGCAAGTTTGGTCATCATAGGGCTCATAGTTACTTGGAAAAGGGACCTGAACCAAAACATTAACCTGTTTATTCACCAGACAAGAGGCCCAGGTCACCTGAGCAGCATGTGAACAACTTTCTAACAATTAAATTTGGTTCGTGTTTTAATCCAAAAGATATGAAATTCACGATTTTGAAAGAGGCACCATGTTTATCATAACTATACACTAATAGCATGCTTACTTTGGTTACTTAACACACAGAGGTAGATTAGAGTAACAAATAGAAAATGCATTTCCACTTTATAAATACCAGTTGTGCACCCCAATCCACAGGAACCACCGACCCTGGGACCACATATTCCAAAATTTTACAAGGCTCGACATTAACACTTGTCAGCTTGTCCAGTACCAGTGAAAAGAAAATACGGACAAGTGAATATTGCTAGTCACTTGTCCGACTGGACAAGTGCATTTTAATGTAAAGGAGTCTATAAATAATTAAAAGAAAGACTGTAGAAAGCTAAACGGTAGTTTCAAGACGGAAGATGTACATAAAAACCAGACTTCGATCCCGATTTGTATAGCTATACTAATATTGAGATCATGCATATTCGATCGGGATCGAAGTTCACTAACTGCATAATACTGAAACCAAAGTCATGGAAGATACGAACCGAAGTGTGGATTCTGTTTGATGTCGACAGGGTCACCTGTGGACATTTATGTTATTGTCAGGACAGAAAGCCTAGATTAAATTTCGTTTCATAAATGTGCTTGTTGTATTTATCAATAACATTACGAATCAATAAAGCACATGTCATGTGTAATGGACTTTATTTTTTTTTCATATTGAAACTATTAGATCTTTATTGAAAATTTTTTGGACAAGTGAAGTTGAAGTTCGGACAAGTAAATGTCTTGGTCACTTGTCCGAATGGACAAGTAGGAAAAAAAGTTAATGTCGAGCCCTGTTTTATCATAAATTTTATTTCATCATAAAATGGTTGATTAAAAACAAAGAGCAGATTTCAAAGCATTACTTTATTTTTAGACTGAGACCCCCCCCCCCCCCCCCCGGCGGTACCCCTAAACCAGGGGCCCTGAAATAAACCATTTTGGAAGAGGTACCTTACTTCATCATAAATATATAACTAGATCATTTGCTTAATACCCAGGAGCAAAGGAAAAAATTTCCAAAGAATTCACACATTTTCACAATATAATCATTAGAGCCCCTAACACCAGAACCCCTGACCCAGGGGCCATAAAATTCACTATTTTGGAAGAGGTATAACATAACTATGTACTTGGTTAGTTTATTTAATGCCCAGGAGCAGAGAAGAAGATTTTCAAAGAAATAATGCATTTTCACTATATAATCTATTTAGCCCCGCCCTAGCACTAGAACTCCTGACCCTGGGGCCATGAATTTCACAATTTTGGTAGAGGACTTAATGCTGATTACAGTAAAACTCGGTTATAGCGAAGTGTTGGGGACCTGTGAATTTAATTCGCTATATCCGTAATTCGTTATATCCGTATAACGAATTCGTATAACCATTATAGCAAATTCAAACTATGCATGTTTCTTTCAAGTATTACTACCAACTATGTTATATAAAGAAACATATCTTCGATAACTAAGGTTTTCTTATGAATTGAGTTTTATATACAAATGCTAAAAGGAAATAAAGTAAGTTCAATTTATCATTTTTTAATAATCTTTGAAAGTTCGTTATAAAAGATGTAAATTTCATTATATTTAACCTCAACGGGACTCAAAATCAGTTCGCTATATCCGTAAATTCGTTATATCAGAGTTCGTTATAACCGTATAATTTTACAAAGATTTGTTAAGAATTTTGCCGGGGACCCAGAAAAACTTTGCTATATCCGTGAATTCGCTATATCCGTGTTCGTACTAAACGAGTTTTACTGTACAATCATGCCAACAGTTTGACTGCTTGATGTCCAGGAGTATAGAAGATTTTTATAGATTGCATTAATTTTAGTGGTTTTGGACCCATCCCTCAGGCCCCAGGGGGGGCAGGGACCATGAAATTCACAAATTTTGTTCCCCTTCACCTACAGATGCTTTGTGTCAAAATTGGTTGAGCAGTTGCAGAGAAGAAGTTAAAAATGTTCAAATGTTAACGCACTGCGCACCACGAATGACGACGGACAAAAACGGACAGCAATAGGTCACCCGAGTTTACTCAGGTGACCTAAAAATGAAGGTCAGATCCAGCATTCGATGCAAGTCTGGTTGTATGCATCCTTACATGTTTCATCTATGCAAGTTTGGTCAAGAGAACTGCATCAACAAGAGGCCCATGGGCCACATCGCTCACCTGAGTACTGTAGCTTAGAAAAAGTTGAAATTGGTTTATTATTGAAAAGTTAAAATCCAAAAGTAATCCCATGATCAATCATGGATTTGCTATTCTTCAAAGAATTTTCCCATATACAGTGAAACCTGTCTAATCCGACATGCACTGGGAGACGAATTTTGTGTCGGAATAGACAGGGTGTCGGATTGCACAGTGTTAAAAACAAAGAAAATAGTAAAATGGGAAAGAAATTTAACGTCGGAATTTGCAGTGTGTCGGATTATTCAGGTGTCGGATTAGACAGTTTTCACTGTATTTCTATGTAAAACTTTGGTCGGCCATTTTGGCCCCGCCCTACCCCCTGGGGTCATGATTTGAACAAATTTGAATCTACACTACCTGAAGATGCTTCCATATAAATATGATGAATAATGGCTTTGTCATTCTTGAGAAGAAGATTTTTAAAGAATTTTCCCATTAATTTCTATGTAAAACTTTGGTCGGCCATTTTGGCCCCGCCCCAACCCCGGGGGTCATGATTTGAACAAACTTGAATCTTCACTACCTGAGGATACTTCCATATAAGTTTGATGAATTATGGCTTTGTCATTCTTGAGAAGAAGATTTTTAAAGAATTTTCCTATATATTTCTATGTAAAACTTTGGTCGGCCATTTTGGCCCCGCCCAACCCCCGGGGGTCATGATTTGAACAAACTTGAATCTTCACTACCTGAGGATGCTTCCATATAAATTTGATGAATTATGGCTCTGTCATTCTTGAGAAGAAGATTTTTAAAGAATTTTCCCATTAATTTCTATGTAAAACTTTGGTCGGCCATTTTGGCCCCGCCCTACCCCCGGGGGTCATGATTTGAACAAACTTGAATCTTCACTACCTAACGATGCTTCCATATAAATTTGATGAATTATGGCTTTGTCATTCTTGAGAAGAAAATTTTTAAAGAATTTTCCTATATATTTCTATGTAAAACTTTGGTCGGCCATTTTGGCCCCGCCCTACCCCCGGGGGTCATGATTTGAACAAACTTGAATCTTCACTACCTGAGGATGCTTCCATATAAATTTGATGAATTATGGCTCTGTCATTCTTGAGAAGAAGATTTTTAAAGAATTTTCCTATATATTTCTATGTAAAACTTTGGTCGGCCATTTTGGCCCCGCCCTACCCCTGGGGGTCATGATTTGAACAAACTTGAATCTACACTACCTGAGGATGTTACCCCATAAGTTTCATCTTTCCTGGCACAGTGGTTCTTGAGAAGAAGATTTTTAAAGAATTTTCCAATATATTTTTATGTAAAACTTTGGTCGGCCATTTTGGCCCTGCCCTACCCCCGGGGGTCATGATTTGAACAAACTTGAATCTACACTACCTGAGGATGTTACCCCATAAGTTTCATCTTTCCTGGCACAGTGGTTCTTGAGAAGAAGATTTTTAAAACATGCCACCAAATTTTCATTAATTCCAAATTATCTCCCCTTGAATGAGGGCGTGGCCCTTCATTTGAACAAACTTGAATCCCCTTCACCCAAGGATGCTTTGTGGCAAGTTTGGTTGAAATTGGCCCCGTGGTTCTTGAGAAGAAGTCGAAAATGTGAAAAGTTTACAGACAGACAGACAGACAGACGGACGGACAGACGGACGCCGGACAAAATGTGATCAGAAAAGCTCACATGAGCTTTTGGCTCAGGTGAGCTAAAAACATTAACCTGTTCACTCATTCGGAAAAATGTAGGTCAGATCCAGCATCCTAAGCAAGTATGGTAGTGTGCATCCTTAGATGTATCATCTGTGCAAGTTTGGTCATCATAGGGCTCATAGTTACAATGGAAATGAGAACTGCACCAAAAACATTAACCTGTTCACTCATCCGGAAAATGAAGGTCAGATCCAGCATCCGAAGCAAGTCTGGTTGTAAGCATCCAAAGATGGATCATTCGCGCAGGTCTGGTCATCATAGGGTTTATAGTTACTTGGAAATAAGACCTACACCAAAAACTGCACCAAAAATGTTAACCTGCTCCATAAACATTCTGGTCATTCCTTTGCTGAAATTGCATCTGAAACCTTGACTGGTATAATGAAACACAATACAAGCATGTTCCATGCATGTATTTTCATGAAAATATGATTTTTTTTTCCTAATTTACAAAGAATCTTTAGGAAAAATACTTGGTGATGTTAATATTTACCTTTAATTGAATTTAATGGGATAGGCTCCCCCTTCCTTTTTTCTGGATCTGACATATCTTTACAAAGTCTTCTGCCATCTGAAATGATAATCACATCACTGTAGGTACTTTTACTTCAATGTTACAATATTTTTTAATTTCTCTCCGTTATAATCACTTGTAAAGTCTTTTTCCTTATGCTATACATGTATAACTATATATTAACTCTTTTTCTGTATGCTTTTTAGCTACAAACTTTTTGTGGCTCACCTGAGCAAAAGAGCTAATTGTAGGCTTATTTCATGCACAATCTAATTAATTATAAACTAGAACTGTCCAAACGGGACAAAATACCCCCCGCTGGGTTTTTCAGAAGTAAGTTTTTCCATAATAAAGATATGTATCAAACACGAATTATGAAATTTTTATTCCAGTGACCTTGAACTTCCCCAAATAACCTTGGGTCAAGGTCATGACACACCCTTGGGTCATGGGCAATCTTTCAGTGAAATGAGAACCTACCAAGTTTATCCATAAGAAAGATATGGACCTGACTTGAATTATGAAATTTTTCTTCCAGTGACCTTGAACTTTCCCAAATGACCTTGGGTCAAGGTCATGACACACCCTTGGGTCATGGGCAATCTTTGTGTGAAATGAGAATCTACCAAGTTTATCCATAAGAAAGATATGGACCGGAAACGAATTATGATATTTTTCTTCCAGTGACCTTGAACTTTCCAAAATGACCTTGGGTCAAGGTCATGACACATCCTTGGGTCATGGGCAATCTTTGTGTGAAATGAGAACCTACCAAGTTTATCCATAAAAGATATGTATCAAACATGATTTTTGAAAATTTTCTTCCAGTGACCTTGAACTTTCCCAAATGACCTTGGGTCAAGGACATGACACACCCTTGGGTCATTGGCAATCTTTGTGTGAAATGAGAACCTACCAAGTTTATCAATAAGAAAGATATGGACCGGACACGAATTATGAACTTTTTCTTCCAGTGACCTTGAACTTCCCCAAATGACCTTGGGTCAAGGTCATGACACACCCTTAGGTCATGAGCAATCTTAGTGTGGATTAGTAGATTCTAATGTCCCTCTGTAAGAAAGATATGGACCGGACACGATTGCACAGACAGACGGACGGACGGATAGACGGACAAGGTGATTCCTATATACCCCCCAAACTTCGTTTGCTGGGGGTATAATGAGATTGACTTCATACATAAAATGGCCCTGTAAATACACCAATTTACTATTTAACACTTTAAGTCCCATTTTTCAACATCAATATAAAGTAGAGACGTAAAGCTGCATGATCATGATTTGCAAAAGGTAGAGATACTGTAGAAGTACTTTTTCCCGCATGGTATAAATTTACGCCATGTATGCGGTCACAATTTTTTCCGCGGAAATTTGTCCAAGCGTTCTTATTCAATATCAATGTAAGGCATATAGTGACAGTCTAGGAAATCCCCATAATTTTCTACACACAGATTAAACAGAAATTGAGATTCCGTGGAATTATGACCCCGTGGAAATAAGTACGTCTACAGTATCTTTGTCCAGAATATTAAATTTCTTGAGACTGCCAATATTATTTAAATTTCTTTTGACTTCCAATATTATTGAAATTTTTTGAGACTGTCAATACTATTTTAATTTCAGCATCTAAAACTCACTACTGCTTTTGACTTTAAATCAAAAGCCTGAAAGGCTTCAATGGCGTCAAACAAGAAAAACAATTTCAAAAGATCTGCAAATAGGTCAAGTGAGTGACTCCGGTAACATAATAATAAAATAAAAAAAAATAGTCTTAACACAAATACAGTATAGGGCCTGATAGCCTTGTGTCCTGGTCCGAATGAGTCAGGGTTCGAATTGACCAGACATCGTCAGAAATGTCCATCCTCTGTATTAATCTAATTTCTTTTCAGTCAATCGAAGACATATGAAGGGTTTCATAAATTATTTTAATTAATTGCCATTCAATGTCAGAGTATTGTTCTGTTGTATAGTGATTGCATCTTAACTACAACCATGACTCTAATGTTACAAGTACGATCGACTTACAATAAGGCGCGGTAAACAAATGGAGGAAATGGATAAATACAGTAATATACTGGCATTACTGGTCAATATCGTAGGTTGTTCGGCTAAGATTGGATTGAAGATCGTAAAAGTAAAGCTAAGATTAAGAAATTCAATCTTTATAGTCTTGTTGTATTCGTGTTTATTTTGTAATTATTTTACCGTATTTGAGATTGTTTGTATTACAGTAATCGGTCCCAAAATGTGATTCATGTCATTCGACGCACCTCTCAGTAGAAATTCATCCGCAACAACCATAACGTTTTTCTTGCGTAAAAATTAAACATAATATCGTTGTTTTGTAGTAGTTTTAATTGAAGATACACTTGATTTAATTTTATATTCAAGCTATTATTCATTGTGAACGTTTTAAAAGAAATTGTATTACAGCTGTTGCTATTTTCTATTGCAGATGCATCCACTGACACGTGCGGTCGCGTAAACCTGACTGATCGCTAGATGACGATCGGGCAAGCCCGACGCCATAAAAATGAATCTGAGTTACATTGCCATATACAATCTTGTTCAATTTCCATGTGTGGAAATTTGTGCATATATATTAAGTTATGGTGCCGCAGCCATTTCGGTTTTTGCGATAAATTAATGCCAACAAATTTTGTGAAAACGTCCACAACAATGTATTTGTTTTTGATGATAAACTTTGTCATTTTCTCCCAGCTAGATCTTTTTTACACAATATTTTGAACAATATTCCATAATAACATGCTATGTTTGAAACAATCTCAGAGTTGTGGAAAACTGCCGGTTATGCCGGCAAAACCGACAAAAAATTCGCATGACCGGTAAAAATGCAATCAATATCGGTCCAAATGACTGGCCCATTTTTTAATTATCTTGCCTTATATGCGATTGCGTAATACCTCTTCTTTAAATGAGATTGAGGCTGTAAATGAAAGCGAAACTAGCATGGTTCTCGTGACCTATTAAATTTACAATTGGGGCAGAATTAGGTAGAAAACGTATCAAAGAAAAAAAATAAAGTTTAGAGGAGCTAAATATGATAAATTTCAACAGAAAGAATTCAAGCACAGGTAGGAAAAGCAATAAATCTAGTACTCCCGACTGTCCTGGATTTTCGGGGTTTTTTTACCGATCGTGTTGATATCTTTATTATCGATGCAAAAAATTTTTGCAATTTCTAGACCCATTTTCTAGGTTAATATAATTCCAAAATGCATAAGTGTTTTAAAAAAATTACATTCACTGTGCTGAATTAGCATTGTGACCTGCCCAAAAGCTGTGGTATCTAGTATTGTTACAAATGCAAAATTAAAAGAAAACGGAAGAGGACTTGGAAATGGAGACTGAATTTTGTATCATTAACATGATTTATTAAAAAGATGTGTTATAAAGTGAATAAATATAAAGGGTTTTTTTTTCATTTAGCGACTTCCTATTTCGGACCGACAAAAATCATTTCGGACCGGCTTATTTTGTTTCCTTGTCGGTCCAAATGACCGGCTATCTGAAAAAGTTTTCCACAACTCTGCAATCTTAAACCATCTAAATAATCTGAAGTATGGATAGATCCCTTCCCCCTTTTGATTAAAAAGGATTGTAAAAAAAAAATAGCTTTGAGACAATTTCCAAGGTAATAACAGTGTTGCCTATTATAATTTTCACAGCACCCTGTCAGGAAAATTACCCTCTACTATATTAGTATTTAATATGCCGAATCTGGATGACTTATCAATGGGATGCATAACATTTTCTCCATTGACAGCTTTGAAGGTTTTGGCATTTGCACATCTGTTTTGCTTTATCTGATAGGAAGATTTAAATAGCCTTGAAAACTTGGTCTTAATTTTTTCAATGACCACTATCAAACCACGCTCATCCGGCCGTTAATCATTACCCACGCAGGCACGACAAACATGCACAAAAGACCAAGTCGTTCTGTGACGATATATCTTGTGCAAATTATTTTCAACATGTCAAAAAAAATCATCAAAGTAAAAAGATACAAACGAACACTTAAAATTCAAGGCAAATAGGGGAAAATCACAAAATGGCAGTAGTATTACGTAATGTACACACATACTGCTACACATGTATCTAGCTGTGATACATCTGCAAAAGGTGCACATTTTTACAAAAAGTGTTTTCAATTCTTACCAAAAAACAGACACGGTGACGGTATGAAGTTTCTTTTTGTATCGTTCCATTTCTTTATCGTCTTTTGCTTACTCCTGCAGCCTCATCTCGTGGTTTTGTTACCCCATGACAATGCGCGGGAAAATTGGTGGTTAAGTCGTTCAGTAGCGCAGTTAAGCATTTTGGGGGTGATCCCCCTTCCAGTTTTTAGTTTTAAATATGGGATCGACACCCTTTTCTAATTTTTCTCGTGTTTTCTAATGTGCATAACGTTATTGATTATGTAACCACGCATCGCTTTTTAACTGAACTGAAGGGCAGTGGCCTATTCATAAAGCACTGAGTCGAAAAAATCAAATATTTAAAAATGGCTCATAGAGACAAAACGACTGCATGATCAGATCATCGATTAGTTTAATAGTTAAAATATTTGATAAAATGCATGAAAGCACAGGTGCTTGAGGACAGGACCCCCCCCCCCTTCGATATAGACCCCTGGGCTTTTTCGACTTTTTTCTCATAAATAATCTTTCATTGACATATTTGTGATAAGATCTATACCAACAAATCGAAAAATTACCTAAAACAAACGTTCTATAAAATCTACCCTACATTCTATATTTATATATAGAGAGTGGGGTAGAAATTTTTATAAAATGTTTATTTAAGCAAATTTTCTGAATTGATAGGATAGATTATATCACAAATGTGTCATCCATATATAATTTATGTGAAAAAAGTCTAACAGGCCTGGGGGATTATATTGGGGGTGGGGGGGGGGGTCCTGTCCTCAAGCACCTGTGCATGAAAGGGGGGGGGGGGGTAATCACAGTTTTAAAAAAGGTTTCAAGTGGAAAGGGGGAGCGCATGCCTATTTGTCTTTGAAGAAACCAAAGTGTAGAGTTATACAAGACAATTTATGTATCCGTGTATTATCTTTAACCACTTAAAGTTATTTATACTCACCTGATAATGATATAACGTACAGTATATCATGTAACGTAAACTGGACTGTGTTTGAAAGATATAATCCTCAGATAAAAATTAGCTGATCAAATTAACATTCGGTACACTTTGTACTTACACTGAAGCTAACAAAAAACTGTTTGGCTCGATGGTTTTAATACGTCATTTAAGCTCATGTACTCGTTTCTAATCTTCACTCGTCTGGCCTAATGAATATATACGCATAGTTGTACTGTTATATATTTTGAAAACCAACTTTCGGTTCTACTTCTGAGAATGTCTACCAAGGAAATCCCAAACAAACAAAAAATTAGGTAACAATAGAACGCTGAGTTCATGATTAAACCATAGAGGCAGGTGGGAGCTTTTTAAAGTGCGGAATAGAGCAAAAAATCTGCCCCCTCCCCCCCCCCCCAAAAAAAAAAAAATTCGCGAACACACTTTTTAGGCCGGAATAGTGAAAGCATCCTGAAACTGCCTAATATCACTGTGTAATATTGGTTAAAACAATTGTCCTTCAACAGTTTAACTGGACATTCAGACTAATTACTTTTTCATCAATTAGATAATTTTTATTTACATTTATAATATTTAAATAATAAAATACCTTCTTGCTTGTTAGTACACCGGGGAATTAATGTCACAAGTGTTGCAGAAATAATATACTCGTACACGTAACAGCTTTTCAAAAAGCTTGCCTGACTAATGCCATCAATATTTATAGAACCTATAAGCATGATAAGTTATAAACGTTACAATTATGAAGATGTTGCACAAAACAACATGCATTCATTTTAAGTTGTATGATACTCATCAGAGCAATGAAAAAAGAACACATTTTATATAAATCGTATATATTGTTTGTATCTCAAATGAAAAATGAAATCATGTACATGTGCTGCTGTAGATTCGAACCCGCGACGTCAAGATGAACACCTCACTCCGCGAGCACAGGTGCTTGAGGACAGGACCCCGACCCCCATCCCCAATATAGACCCCCAGGCCTGTTAGACTTTTTTCACATAAATTATATATGGATGACACATTTGTGATATAATCTATCCTATCAATTCAGAAAATTTGCTTAAATAAACATTTTATAAAAATTTCTACCCCACTCTCTATGTTGATTTTTATATATAGAATGTAGGGTAGATTTTATAGAACGTTTGTTTTAGGTAATTTTTCGATTTGTTGGTATAGATCTTATCACAAATATGTCAATGAAAGATTATTTATGAGAAAAAAGTCGAAAAAGCCCAGGGGTCTATATCGAAGGGGGGGGGGGGGGGGTCCTGTCCTCAAGCACCTGTGTCCGCGAGTCTAAAAATGGTTTTAAAGGATGAAGTAAATAAGGGAAAAAAACTAATGTAATTGATTAATGCTGGAAAGCATGGCTATATGTAAAGGTTACATAAATTAAATTCAACTGCATATATTACAGTATAGGCTTTGAGGAAGACAGCTGAAAATATGATAACTACAATTAAGAAATTGGGAATCGTATTAAACGGTTATGACTGACATGCAGAATGTTTCATAGTTTTTTGGGTATGCCAGAGCATCAACGATTGTTGAAAACGTGGGATAAATAAAGCCCTATATGCTTAAATGACTCAACAAACTTGACGGCGATATATGAATGGCGACAGGCGCGGATTCAGGAAGTTATTCCCAGGGATGAGGGGTCCACATCAAAAATATTTGTACGAGCAAAGAGTAATAAACTTTCTCAATCCTGAAATGTGAGAGGATACTTTCATAAGTCTGTATACTCTGTTTTTGTAGGAGGAAACCCCCTGGAGGGGGAGGGGGGTTATGATCAGATGTAATTTGGCCAGTGCATCCTCTGAAGAGGTTTTTGTTCGTTTCGTTTTAATTACTTTAAATGATGTAACTTCTAACTCATTTCACAATATCACCGATATGTTTTTTTTCCAAAGCTCGACCATGATTCTGACAAAAAAGAATGTACATACTTTATATCATTCATGCAGTTTTCATTTCCTTTAAATAGAATAGTCCAGGAAAAGGGCGCAGAAACTTACACGTGACATTTTGGCGCGAAATGATTGTGTCACCCCTTACATAGAAGACAAATGGACTAATCCAGTAGTAAAAAATGGACTAATCCAGTAGTAAAGAAACGCAGAAAAAAAGTCAAACGGACATGTCTGTATAAGAACTCGCATGAAATAAATAGCTGCTAGCAAAAAGCCAAAATAAATAAATACATCAATGTATTGTATCAGCAATATGGTTATTTTTCTGCTAACTGTTATTGCTGAAACACGTGTAACAAAATCCAATGATAATCAGCATGCACAAAATTTTGCTGGTTAACTGTGATCTCTTAGCTTCGCACCTAGGAAATATTGGTCCTTATAGTGCCTGACGCCGTGACGTCAGGCAATAACCCGCCTATACTAATAATTTTGTTTATCAATGAAATTAGTTAGGCCTTTAAAGTAAAATTTTTGGTAAATATTTCATTTTAGATGAATATGTCACTGTAGTGTTGTTCATACTCTGATTAATGGCAATGGTCTTCATAAGAAATAAAGGATAAAATATTCAGCCTGGATGTAAAAATAATTCCACTTTCACCTGCTAGCATGCATACTTGATCTATAAGTCCTTAAATTCATTCAATACATGTGAACGTGCTTACAAAAACCGATGTACAAACTACTGTTGTACAAAACCTTTAGTTGCTTACTGTCGGTCAAAAGCTCTATACAGAGCTTATGTTTATGTTGTAAAATCCGACTCTAAATAAAATTTTCTGATTCTGATACTGCTTTCCAATCAAGAAGTTATTATTTCTAATCAAAAAATTTTCCTTTTTGTGATCTTGGTTTTTTGTGATCTTACATTTTACTTTGATAGAAAAAGGCAGCCACGTAGCATCAATTTTGAAAGGGGGGCGGGGCAGCCAGAGAAATTTTTTTTAACTCACCTGAAAAAGTTGACAAGCAAAAAAAAAAGGAAAGTTGAAAGTTGCCCAAAGTCGACTATCCTTTTTCGGGGGGGGGCAACTTTTTTCAATACTTTACTTCTGCCAGTACCAATTTTTTATACTAGAAAGTTGGAGGCCAACCTATTCTCTTTAGAGAAGTGGACAGGCTTTCGCCTACATCGCCTACAACATGACGGCCTGCGAAGAGGGGTGGATGTAGGCGAAAGCCTGCATGTCCACTTCTCTACGGGGCCAACCTACCTTTCAATGAACATTTCTTCCTACGTACAGTGTAACTTAAGTAAGGTTGGGAAAAAAGTGCCCCCCCCCCCCCCCCCGTTGCTACGTGCCTGGAAGTTATGTCTCAATATTTCCTGTTCGTTTTATTTCCTATTTCAGCGAGCACACGAGTACGCTTCCCCGAGTGAAATCCGGATAAATTTAAACTGACCGAGAACATTTTGGTTTATACACGCCAAAATGGCCGTAAACTGAGACAATTCCCGGGTTACTTCGAATAAACCTTACATTTGTCATGTTCTGCAACACGTGATTGTTGCATAAAGTACTGATAATGATGAAAACAGCCATGGAGAGGATAGGGATTGTAGGTGCGGGAATGACGGGCGCTACCCTTGCCTCCCTCTTGAGAACGGAGTGCGCCGAGAGCAAGTTGTTGATCCTGGACAAGGGCAGGGGTGTCGGTAAATCATTTTTATATTTTGCAGGGACCTGTGTATTTCAGCATATTGGTCCTGGATAATATTAGTTATCTAGGTTCAATCAAGGATGTATAGGGATTTAGCCCGGGATTTATTCCATACACCAGGTCTGGTACAATCACTAGATTTAGCTACGTAGCTTGATTAACCTACATAGCTTTATTTACCTACCTGAGGTAGCTTTACTTAGCTACCAAATTGATTTATTTCTATTAAAAAGCATTTTTCTCAGGATGTGCAGAAAATATCATTTTGATGCAGTGGTCATTTTCAACCTTGAACTCATCTGAAAACAACTCATGAAAAAATCCCTCTTGGAAAAATGTCTTTTTCTGCGCAATTTCAATCAAAGTTCTGAAAGTTTTGGGGCTATGTATGACAGTTAGAACAGTTACTCCTTGAGTAAATTGACAAAGAAGTCCAGTTCCGGTTAACACGATAATAAGGTCGGTAATTATTCAGCACAATGTGAAGTAATCATACTCAGTCATGCCTCACCGCACGGATAGATAACCAAACAATGGAATTACACGTTTTGCTCACAGGCACCTGACGTTATTTATTTTTCTTTTACTAAAAAAAATATACACATACCGAATAATAAACAAGGTACCCATCGAAACCCGCCATCTTGGATTTTCGAAGTAGGTCATCACTTGTATTTTCGTCTGAAACTCCGTCAAATAAATTCCCTGCAACCATATTCTTTCTGTAGCCAGTCTTTCGAGGTCTAAACTTACGGACACTGCAGCCAGAAAGGCACATTACACTTGCAAATATTGAAAATCCCTCGTCAAACTCGACCTACTGCTTCAACATTCCGAGAAATCGCCAAAAGGGGGCCGGAAGTTTACATCAATATGCTAATGGGAATTCCGTATTTGTCAGTTTTGTGGTGGATCTAAAGCGGGGTGTCATAATTACTTTGAAATTTTAATGAATATTTCGATTATAGAAATGAAAAAAATGCAAAATGGGAAAAATAAAACACTTCTTATAAATATACCTGTAAAATATACTATATTAATCTATACAGGTCGTTGCGTTTGAAACAATTTTGAATAAAAGAGAGGGGGGGGGGGGGTGCTTAAAAAAAAATCAATAACAAATCATCTAGAGTTAATTGAATCGTTTTCAAAAAACAATAGACTGCAAACCATCCAGTTATATATATGTATACATATATACCTGGCATATGCTTAATTGAAAAAGGAGAGGGATCACACTGAAAAAGCTAGGATATGTAATGAAATCAAATATAAGCCTATGCAACATGTATATGTATAATCTGTCACCAAGAAAAAAAATAAAAATGTCGCCATGTCACTACTTTATTGCAATACATAAAATTGCAGATCTCAACATTCCCTGGGATAATTTTAGTGTGGACCCCCCCCCCCCCCTCTCACACACGTGCGTACATACTTATAAAGTCAATCTTCTGCACGGATAGCGCTCAATCAGGGCATCAATAATGACAGTGTTATTAATTATATTTAGTGCATGTAAGTAGGGCCTTACAACCAACTCAATTTGTCTCGAAAATGTTCATTGATCAGCTAGCATGATCAAGCCGATCTTCGACATTTACAAAACATAATCGCTTTATTAATCAAGCTATAGGCCTATCGAAATTATTTTGAGAGAAATAAAAAGAATGTTCTTACATGTATATTACGTTGTATTATTGTCTGAAATATTGTTTTTGGAATAAGTACTAACTTTCGCCGGTTATTTTTAAAAATAAATCGCACAAATATATTGACCAATCAAAGAAGGGCTTTCCCTAAGAATTTCAAGTCGTATGTAAACTTCCGGCCCCCTTTTGGCGATTTCTCGGAATGTTGAAGCAGTAGGTCGAGTTTGACGAGGGATTTTCAATATTTGAAAGTGTAATGTGCCTTTCTGGCTGCAGTGTCCGTAAGTTTAGACCTCGAAAGACTGGCTACAGAAAGAATATGGTTGCAGGGAATTTATTTGACGGAGTTTCAGACGAAAATACAATTGATGACCTACTTCGAAAATCCAAGATGGCGGGTTTCGATGGGTACCTTGTTTATTATTCGGTATGTGTATATTTTTTTTATTAAAAGAAAAATAATTAACGTCAGGTGCCTGTGGTTTTGCTCTAAATTGTTCAAATGCAGCAATGTATAAACTATTTCTGCTTTGGATTGTTTTTTTAAGCCTCTATAGTATAAATATCAATAGTCATTTAATTGCGACTTTTTGTCTCTTTTAAATAAAAAGAAAACTTACCTAAAAATAGCTAAATAAAGCTACCTGAGGTAGGTAAATAAAGCTACGTAGGTAATTCTACCTACGTAGCTAAATCTAGTGATTGTACTGGACCTGATACACCTGAAGGCCGAAGGATGTATGGAACAGGTCCAGCACAATCTCTTGATTAAGCTACATAGCTTGATTTAGCTATATAGCTTTATTAAGCTATTCAGAATAGCTTGATTGAGCTATTTTCTCAGACTTCTTTCTCAAATGTGTTATTTTTTCAACATGTGCAAAAAGTCGCACCTAGGTGCAGTGGAAATATTAAACTTTGTTCTCTTCTGAATACAATGCATATAAAAATCACTCACCAAATTGCGTCTCCTTGAGAGACTTTGTACTCAAAGTTTTAAAAGTTTTGGGGCTATTGATGAGTGACCACACAGTTATTTCTTGAATGAAATTATAAAGGAGGCCAGTTATGGCCAACAGGATAATTGATTAGTAACAGTTCAGCACAATGAGAAGCAATCATACTTACCCACACCTCACCGCACACACAGTTACTCAAACAATGGAAATTCACATTTTGCTTAAAGTATTCAACAGAAGCAATGTAAGAACTTTCTATGATTTAGGTTGTATTTTTGATAGTCCATAGTACATATATGATTAGTCAAATACTTGCGACTTTTTGTTTATTTCTTTTAAAAAAACGTTTTTGGGAAAAACTGCATATAAATAGCTTTATCAAGCTATTTTGAATAGCTTTATAAAGCTATATAGCTTTTTAAAGCGATATCATAATAGCTTAATCAAGAGATTGTGCTGGACCTGTGGAATTCAACCCGGGCTAAATCCTCGTACACCCTTGATTGAACCTGGTTAACGAATATATTTCCTATGTACCCATAAAAATTCTCTGTTAGTATCCGAGTGTAATCAACTGTGTTTCAGTCTTTTGATAACATAACTACGTACTAGTACAATGCATCGTGACGTCTTGTTATTTGGTTTTTATCAGAGAGAAAGTATGCATTGTGATGTCACGTTTTATTAACGGTTAAGTCTGGTGCACGGAAATTTACATCCGACTCTGTAACCAATCAAAGCTTGTGTTACAAGCAACATTGAAAATAATAGTATTTGATAATGTTTCTTTATGTGATTGTAACAGTAAGTGATAAATAAATCGTCAATATGTCATATATTTCTTAAACAGTTAAGCTACAAATTTAATAAAACAGTCATACTGATCATGAAGACGACAAAATTTAGACCAAGAAATTATATTACTTCGTAAATTATCAATTTTGCATAGTATTTAATGCAAAATTGTTAATTAACAAAGTAATCATTTTTTGCCAAAGTTTTGTCCTATTCATCCTCAGTGTGAATGTATCAAGAAATTTGATGCTCATCATGTTGCACCGTTCCTGCGGTTAGCCAAAAAATGTAAGTAAAGCAAAAAGTAGGAAAAAATAGTACTTTGGATAGGTTTAAATACCTAAGTAGCTATAAGTAGCTGTGTAAGTATAAATAATCTGTTAAATATGCATCATATGTATATTTCATTTAGGTGGGCGAATGTCCACTAGCAGAAGCGTGAAAGCCAACAGTTTTACCGTGGATTTGGGAGCTCAGTACATATCAATCACAGAGGCGTACAAAGACAAGCACCACAGGTAAACAGTGGACAAGAACAACGATAAAAAAGGCAGTGTTTCCACTAATTGTGTGAAGCTACATAACATCTTTTGTTTGATCCTAGATCAGTAGATATTAATAATATTCTATGTTATTCCTTCCTCATTGATATATGAATGCCATGGACAAAGGCATCTCCATTCAAAATGTAAACCATTATATTTTCTAAAATTAGCAAGGTTATGTTGCAAGAAATGTCATCTTTTATATCTATATTTATCTAAATTAAGGTAATATATTTTAAGAAAGTCTCATATATTTTTCTGTATGCCAGTAATAAGAAAGAGTGTTTATTTTAAGATATTAGCCTATTTAGGTCACATATTTGAAACAGATCATTTCTCATACCATTTGTCATTATTTTAATTTGCTTTTTATTTTAGATTTCATGAAGAGTTGATTTCATCAGGAGTTCTCAAAACCTTATCAAGCGAGATTGATGGACACCGAAATAAAGACCCGTCCGTCACTAACTACATAGCACCAGAGGGTGTGAGCTCAATAGTAAAGCATTTCCTCAATCAATCAGGTACACATTTGTTTTAATAACATCATATCTTATTGGAAAAAGTGTAAATAGTTGTTTACAAAAGTTAAATTAATACATAATTTGGTAAGATTTAATTCCCAACTTCTGTAATTCTATCAATACTAAATGTCTCCAGCATGTAGTTGTATTGGTAAAACAACAGGCCTTGAATCCCACAGATGTCATTTACAGCCATTGATATAAAAAAAAAGGATTATGATTTGGTACATATAAAATATTATGTAGCTCTTTACAAGAAAGATTAAAAACATATCGATCTGAGTATGATAAAAAAAATGTAGCATCAACAAAAGATAATATGAATGAAGTGGTTAAGATTGAGAAAAAACTTTTCAAAAATGTATCTGTGATGCTAGGTTAATCAAATGTTTATTACCTGTTACCAAGTTTTTGTGGTTTTACAGGAGCCGAGTTAAAAAAATGTGAGCAGATAACTCGAGTTGATGTGAGTGGAGACAAAGTACAGCTGACGAGTGACAGCGGTCAGTCGTACGAGTGTGATTCAGCCGTGCTGACCATGCCTGTCCCTCAGATTCTGCAGCTCCAGGGATCAATAGCAGACATCCTAAGTAGGTCATACATATAGTAATCCATTACAAAGTAGGTCATACCTATAGTAATCTTATCATATACAAAGTAGGTCATACCTATAGTAATCTATTACAAATTATTATGCTTCCTGTCAGTTTGTCTCTATATAACCCATACCCTACTATTCTCGCATAGTGGTCTAAGGATTTATATAGCATAAACATACTATGCCGAAAGAGTGCACGGCTTTATTTACTGAATAAAATTCTTCCATGCACATGCCGGGGATCAAACTCACAACCATGAGATTGACAGTCCGATGCCTTATCGATTACGCCATAGAGACGATCACTGATTGATGTAATTTTATTAAATATATAAACTTAATTTATACAATTGACACAAGGAGGAGAAAATAGACAAATATTATTTGAAAACAGTTATATTATTCTAAGGAACTTTAGATTAATGTGTACAACAAACTTTCAAACTAATTACATACAGATCGTTAGATGAACTGATTTTATAGGGTCATTAAAACGCTTTTTTATTTGACGCTTGATTGAAGGATGTAAAAGAAAATTATCAATGAGAATCGACGTCTGCAAACAAATAAGGCTTACTAACATAACAGAAAATAAAGATGTGTTGCTTTGGGACAGAAAATCCCGACTTATTTAGAGAAAATACTAGTAACCAAAATAACTAAGCATGCAAACAATTTTAGCATGAATATTTTGAATGAGTTCTTGCAAGTGCGCTGTTTAAGCACCGATATTTTCAGGAAAAAGTCAAATAGATTGCTGCATACATAATTACAACAGTCAGCATAATAATAACAATAGTGTTGCATTATGCATGTACTATGCCTAAATAGTAGGCAGGGTTTGACACATAGTGCACTCGCCTCCGGCTCGTGCACCTTGTGTCAAACCCTGCCTACTATTTAGGCATAGTACATGCATAATGCAACACTATTATATAAGTAGTATGTACCTATAGTCATCCATTACAAAGTAGGTTGTACCAATAGTAACCATTACAATGGCAGATTTGCTATATATAGTTTAATGAATTAGTAAAAAGTGATGTAGAGAGTTACAGATATAATAGTATATT